TTGAGAGTACCATGGACTGCTAGGAAAACAAACAGATTCATCCTGGAAAGGGTTAAACTGGGTGGCTCCTTGGAGGCAAGGATTCTGAAGTTCCATCTAACATACTTTGGACATGTGGTAAGAAGAGACCAGTCCTTGGAGAAGGACATCATGCTTGGGAGGTTGGAGGGACAGGGCAGGAGAGGAAGGCCCTCTATGAGGTGGATTGATTCAGTGACTGAGTTAATTGGGATGGGAGTGTCAGAGACAGTGCAATTGGCACAGGATAGAGCAGAGTTTAGGGCTGTTGTTTAGGGCTGTTGTACACAGGGTTGCTATGAGTCACAAGCGACTCAATGGCACATAACAACAACAAGAAGAACAACTAAAAATATACCTTACATATTTATGTGTATACATACTATATACTTGTATATTTCTTATTTTATTTGGACTCACAATTAATAGCCATGGTAGCTGCAGTCAAGAAATTTTAAAAATGGGCTGCACTGGACAAATCTGCTGTCAAAGACCTCTTTCAAGTGCTAAGGAGAAAGGGCATCAGTTTAAAGACTAAGGTACACCTGACCCAAGCCATAAGATTTTCAATTGTTTCCTACATATGTGAAAGTTGGACAACGACTAAGGAAGACTGAAGTAGAATTGATGTCTTTGAATTGTAATGGTGAGAAAACATATTGATTGTATGATGGATTGTTAAAATAAAAACCCAAATCTTCTTGGAGGAAGTGGAACCACGGTGCTTTTTAGAGGCTAGGACAGTGAAACATAGAATTGCAAATTTTGGACATGCTACCAGAAGGCATCAGTCCTTAGAAAATAAATTTCACGCTGGCAAAAGTAAAGAGTCAGCAAACGAAGAAGCTTCTTCAACAAGAAGGCTTGATGGAGTGACCCCTTAGTGGGCTTGAGCAAATTAGAGACTGTGAGGGAAGGTGAGATGGGTTTTTGTTTCTGTTTCTATTCTGTTGCTCATAGTCACTACAAGTTGTGTTGATGCAACAGTACCTAAAAACATTTCCAATATCTTATGTGATATCTTGACACATAATTTGTCAATATGTTTTGGTGAAAATAAAAGGAAATTGAGTTAACTCTGTCCTTCTTCGTGGAAAGGAAGGACAGCATTACCGGGAAGGTTCAGGGTAGATATATAAGACTTCTAGTGAACACTCATTTCTTAGTGTAGAAATATCAGATTAGAAACAATGAGTAAATACTGAAATATAATCATGTTCATTATCAAAAGAACTATTATGAAATAATGGAGTCCTCTCTCACTTCATTCCTTTTCCTATTAAACTAGAGAACAGATTTTTCATTTTGTTCTAATATATGACCTAAAAATATTAATAAATCAATCAACTTACAGAGAACCAAGATTTACCAAAATAAATTAAACAACTTAAGTTTCTAATATAATAAAAATTAATAAAACTAGTTACTGTCAAGTAGATTTCAATTAATAATTTCATTTACTTCTGCCTGCATTGGTGTCAGAATAGAAATGTGCCCCATAAGATTTTCCCATGGCTGACTTTTTTCTATAAAGATTGTCTGAAGTGCCCTTGTTGTTGTTGTTAGATGCCTAATTTTTATGTATTATAGAGTCAAGATTGTTTTGGTAGGGAAACTCCGTACCACAAAGCCACCAGAGCATCCTACACAACACAGTGACTTTTTAAAATTTTTTTTCTTAAATTTTACTTTTATTATTTTGTGTGTGTGTGTGTGTACCGTCAAATCAGATTTGACTGGTACAGGAGGAGATTGTTCCTCCTTCTCTAGCAAAGCATCTGGGGGATTTGAACCGCACACCTCTGGGATTGCAGTGTAGCTTCTTGCCACTAGGCCACAAGAGCTCACCCACAGTGACTTTTTTAAGAACGTCCCCTTTTCCTTATGACTCAGGGTGAAGTCTCTCTCAGGGAGGAGTGATAGGGAATGGCAAAGGACACACTGACAAAGGAGATTAATCAGAACT